AATTAAATGACTATTAAATAAACATCATGGTGTCTATTTACTTTTGAGATGTCTCTGTACAAAAGGTCCACAAACTTACAAGCAATACGAAGTCTTTTTTCTACTCTGGAACTTCCTTGATGTCTAATCAAGGGTTCACAATGAGCAAGTTAATTTTGAGTTGACACTGGTACGATTCACTTAATAGGGAGCTAGCTAGCTAGCTCTGTATTCTTCACCAATTTTTTTCCACTGATGAAGTTAGGTAATATTTTCATAAAAGTACTAATATCCAATGTGAATCCACTGAAGTAAAATGGTTTGTAATGTTTGAAACTTATAAATGATCCTGGTCAAATATATTAAATTTCCCAATTAATAAATATTATAACAATCACAGTTATAGTTTCCGAAGTTTATAGCACACCACTATAGCATAATAAATACTGTTTTTTGGTGCATCGCGTTGGTTATATTTATAGGCGTGTGGAGGACTTCTCAAAAATTCAGATTACATTATAATACAAAGCTACACTAGTTTTTATGTACACACACATATATTGTTGATTCTTACACTCGAGAATCTTCTATAACTTTAGAGAATAGGCAGGAATTTCACAATACATACTTAACAGTATACGTTATGTACATTTCTAAATATAGATTTAATTTAAACAAACATCGATATTAAAATAAATGTATAATAATAAATCCATCATGTGTTAAGAAAAACAACCTCTTGAATCAATTCTTCCAGATGAATTCAGGCCAATACATATCACTCTAGTTTTGGATTCTGCTCAGTCTCTGCATGTTCTCATTACTCAGTATTGTTATGGTTTTACCTTTCCTATCCTAGTACTCATCATCTGGTGAACCAGTTGTATATTATTGTGACACTCTTTGAATTGTTCCTTCATCTTAATGTGGATATTGTAGCTTACAGTATTCCCAAAGTAAATCTATATGATTTGTATTTTACATCATTCAAACTGAAATGAACTTCAAGCAGGTACTTACTTACCTCTAAAATATATTCTCACCCACATTCCCATAACTGGAAGGAATGTTTTATAACATCACAAGTATAAACAATTACATATGGTTTATGGAGTGAAAGCAGAGCTCATGTAGTTTTCCTGGTACTTGCATAATACATCATACCGAAAGTGAGAAAGTGCATTAAGGCCATTCATAATCAAAACTCATGTGGCTGTTAATAGTGCAAGAGTAACTCAACTAAAAAAAGAATTACAGTATTTCAGAAATTGCTTGAAATTTATTTTACTTCTGAAAACTTAAAATTTAATTGACATTAGTAGAAATGGATTTAAATAACAAAAGTGAGCACAACACTGAACAGATTTTAACTTCTTTTAATACGTAACATAAATTTAAGTTACATCAGTGATTATAAATAAACAGATTAATTAAGACATGGGTGTAAATTTAATGAAGTGACCAAACAACTTAAAAATCTACTTGGCACTTTTCACTCACAAGAACCTAAAATATATCTCTTGTAATGGTCAGTGAACACAGAAAAATGCAAGAAATGACAAAAGAATGTTTTAATTAGCCATTTAGGAATCAAATTAATTATATTTTCCTCAGTCTTGTGCCTCTTCCATTAATTGATTAATAGCTATAGAAATAGGCACATATAATAAAGATAAATAGATTAGATATTTTTTTTCACTGGT